GGTGTGTTGGGGCAGGGAATAATTGAAACTGTGTAGGGCAGTCGGTCCGCAGAACTGAAGCAGAAAACCACTGGCCTAACCAACAGCTCTCTCATTAGGATAAAGTGTGTCTATTTCTAGAGCACATAGGCCCAACCAACAGCTCTCTCACTAGGATATCCTTTCCCTGCCTCTAGAGATCATAGGCCCAACCAATATCTCTCTAACTAGGATACCCCACTGGACCCTGGGAAAAAAAATAAAATTTCAGTGATGTAATGCATACGGCATGCAAATTATCTGCATGTACTGTGTGAGGTGCCATGTGAACATCTAAGTGCATCAAAGCATACACACCCTGTCCGGCCAGTGCCATTGGGTTCATTGATGTTTTGATAGCAGTTTCCTGACGCTGATGTCATGGAGCCTGTGGAAATGATGGTGAAGCTGAAATGCATGTTGCAGGAATGTCACATAGCTACATCCAAGACTACACACGAAGATGGTGGAGACAGAGAAAGTGATCAATTTAGCTGCTTTGAAAGTTTGCTCATTTTGTTCATTTTAACAGGAGCAAAGAGTGATGATAAATGAATATTAGTCTGATGAGTGTCTAAAGGAACTTGTGAGGTACAGTGTGTTAAGTATACAATGGATTCCTTCTTTTAGGTGACACAGTTGACAGGAGTATGCATAAATATGAATATGCAACACAAGTAAAGCATTCACTTACATACACATTCCACATTCCTCTCACTCTCACACTCTCTCTTATGCACACACATGCAACCATTCACACTCACAACACAGTCTTCCCTGGGCCTCTGCAGTCGTACAGGATGTATAAAAAACAGCCTCACATTCCTTTCCTGTTAGGTCAACCACAATATGGGACTGACACACGAGAGGACTGGACTCCTTCCCAGCACACACAAACCCTCTGGAGTCCTGTTACTCCTAGTCACTCAGTGAGGCCTCTACACACACACGCACACACACATTCGCATACACTCATACAAACACACAGCAGAAGTGAGAACACTGCTTCTTCAGTAAACTCAAACTTGCAAGGCCTAACTTATCCAAATAGTGGCAGCATAAGCTGTTCTTAGACCAGCTGTGCATTGTTAGCTCTCCAAAGATATCGAGCAGAAGTTTTCATTTTAATATGTATGCTTTTCTGTACCATACTGGGAATTCTGCAGTCTTTGTTTACATGAGCTTTACTGTATTGAAATATTTGTTATTGAAGATTCCTTGAGGATTCAAAGTAAACTCTTCTGCCAATATATGAGCACTGTGCCAATTATGAGAAGTTTTTGCAAGCAATGCTTGTATAAACACAGGAAGCAGAGCTCTAAAACATGTTTATTCAGGTTACTTTTGGTTCATCCATCTAGAACTCTGAGCTCAAAGACTCCTCTTCAGTTTTATCTCAAAATCAGGTGATTAAGTCATATCTGAGCTCAAATATTTAAGTTTATAACTGCAGAATGCACTGTACCTTCAAAGCACAATGCACTGTAAAAATAGTCAGTTCAAAAAAATTTCTTCATGTGGTAACAAGTAAATTATCTAGTTTTATTCAACCTAAATAATTACTTTGAATGAACCATTCTTTCAATCAAAGTTTCTTTTTAGTTGAATAAAACTAGTTCAGTTGCTTATTACCACATAAAGCCTTTTTTTGTTAAATAATTTTCCACAGTGTGGATGTGCATAGTAGATTTGTTTAGAGTGAAAGTGATTGCATGTTTATCATGCACATTTGCTCATGCACAGCAGCTAACAGTTACAGCAATAAAACATATATGCTGGGCAGGTGAACAGGATTAGACCTGTACAGGAGCTTATAACTTGATGGTCTGATAAACATGATAAGCGATATCTGGATCAAGAGTAGAACTCTTTTGCATTGCTGTGTTTGCATTATAAGGGCTTGGATTTTTGTGTTTCTGCAAATGTGTGCAAAAAGGTAAGTAAATGTAAGAAGATTTTATTAGTAATTTTGGACAATTTCTGTTGATCTGTTCATCAAGAAATTTCTGCACAATGTAAAGGGCAGCTGGTATTTTCAACTTGTGAAAAAAATGGAAATACAAAGTTTCGTTCCAACAGCAAAAATAAGCAAAATCCAAGTTTTTACAATTCAAACTCGACAGACAGCAGGTCCTTACTGTTCACAGCAAGCCCATCGGAATGGTGCAGAGCGAAAAGGTTGAGAGCTGATTTACAGGAAAGCCCTGATTACACCTTGATAGCTGTTGATAACTGGGAAATGTAAACTTCCTGCAATCCTGCTATCTTTTCTTCTCTGGCTGCAGCGGGTGTTTTGTGTCATATGTGGAGGAAATCATTTTCCGTGGGCTTCGTGTGTGTGTGTGTGTGAGTGTGTCATATTTTGTGTACACAAAAGCAATACTGTATTTGGGGGGAGGGAGGGGGAGGGTTGGTTGTGTCGGGAACTCCACGGCCCTGGGGCTTTGTGTTTGGCGGGCGTTGTCTCTGACTGTTTAAGCCATGGACTCACTGACAGCAGCTTTTGTTTCTGGACCTTGGAGGAGATGGATGCAGGGGAGGAGGGGCCTAAATGAGCGCAAAGGAAAGGTGCAGATTTCCCAAATGGCATGAAAAGAATACAGCAGCAGATAGTGGAGTTGTGAGAAGCAATCATAGTGTGTGTGTGTTTGTGTGTGTGTGTGTGTGTGTGTGTGTGTGTGCGTGTGTGTGTGTGCGTGTGTGTGCCTCTTTTGCCAAATATTTCCTGTAATATAAACCAGCCACACAGTCTACCTCTCTCTTCCTTGTGTACTTTTGCCTGGCTCCTCCACATCATCTCACACAAAACACACCACGGCTACTGTTTGGATGTCTGGTACTAATGAGCATGGAATTTACCCATAATGCTCATACACAAGTAAATGTGAAGAAAGAACAGAAGAATTTTTCATTTTTCATTTCAGGCATGCAAGTGAAGCAGCCTCTGTTTTCTATATTAGTCAACATGCAACTTCATTTAAACCGCAAGCTGCAATTATTAGATTAGATTTGGCTCTTCTTCTTGTATTTGAATACACACATGCAATGATTACTGATCATTACTGTTCAGAAGCTGGGGTTTCCTTTAATATAAAATCAATTTTGTGGCAGGTGCATGTATAAAATGAATTTATTATTATGCTACATCTCTACAATCCTAGTTTATAGGTTTCTACTAATAAGTAGGAAGCTGTAAAAAAATAAGAAATGTTAGAGGTGTTTAGAATGAAGAACAGAGCTGTAGATGATTCTGTAATGACTGCAAATGCCGTATAAAACTGAGAATAAAGTTATAATAAAATTAAGATCAAGAATGCTTGGTATTTGAAAAGTGGTGGTCAAATCCTGAGGCAGATAACATATCAAAAAATGACTATAATTAGATATTAAATATATAATGTATCATTCAATAACATATATTCTGATAGCTTATAATATTTCAATCTACATTTTTATTACTGAATATAATAACAGCAATCATTAATTCAACAAGTGATTTTAAGCAGTAGTGTACAGTTAGTGTACAGTTGGGAACCCCTGGTCAAATTACATGTTTTACTGAAGTTAACACATCCTCTACAGAGAACACACTTCTCACACTTCAGTTTAATGCACAATTATTGTTTATTTGCTGAATTTAACATATTAAAAAAACATAAAATGCAGTGACACACAGTGTAAAGCACAGCTGTTGTTTACATATTACATAAAAAAACAGATTTTGTCCCGACAGTGACGTTAGACAGCAACCAAGTTAGAAAAACTTCAAGTTTGTTCCCTGTAGAAGATGTGTTACCTTATTTTCACTTGGAAAATCAACAAAACGTGTACTTTGACCGGGGCTTACTCAAACTTTTGCACACAACTGTGTGAATACCCACATACAAGCCTACGATCACAATGAAACACATTCTCTGGAGTGACGAATCTCACTTTGTCTGACAAATGAACCTAGGGAGAACACTACCTGCCTGAATGCACAGTGCTAACTGTGGAAGAGGAATCCGGGGTCGTTTGTTTTTCATGGTTTGAGCTGTGTCCCTTACTTCCAGTGAAGGGAAATTTTAATGCTACTTAATGCATATAGTGGTATTCTAGGGAATTGTGTGCTTCCAACTTGGTGGCAGCAATTTAGGGAAGGCACTTTCCTGTTTTAACTTGATATTGCCCTCATGCAAAGTGAGGTCCATAAACGGTCTGTTGAGGCTGGTGTAGAAGAACTTGACTGCTCTGCACAGAGCTCTGACCCATCAAAGACCTTTGGGAAGAATTGGAATGCTGACTGTGAGCCAGGCCTTCTCACCCAACATCAATGCTCAATCCCACTAATGCTCTTTTTAGCTCAGTGGAAGTGAATCCTTCTAGCTACATAGCAAAATGTGGTGGAAAGATTTCTCAGAAGAGTAGAGGGTATTACAGCAGCAAAGGAGTATAAAGTCTGTATTAATTCTCATGGTTCTGAAATGAGATGTTCAACAGGCACATATGGATGTGATGTTCAGGTGTCCACATATACACCAAGTGTATAATGACATAGAGTCCATATAAAAATACTACTTTCCGGTATTTATCACATACTAGTGTTTTAAATATTTCATAGAAAATACTCAAGACCAAGACTTTGTAGTGGTAGAGTCTGAGTCAAGACTGAGACAATACGTGGCGAAACCGAGTTAAGACCAGATTAAGATTTTTTTCAGAATATACAAACAAAAAGTAGATAAAAAAGGGGGAAAAACTGAAATTCATTTGTAGTTCATTGTACTTTCATTATCATTCCTTATTCGTGATATATATTAATAAATAATATTATATTTTATAGTACATTTTGTAAAATATAACATTAAATAATGTCTGGCATTAAAAATATGAATCAATATTATATTAAAATCTTAATCCAACTTTGCACTGTAACTTTTGGAAGCAAATGGTGAGGTTATACTCTGTCTCTTCTTCTCTAAGACTTATTCAGAATCAGCACCTAGACCAAAAAACATTTTTTATTATTACATGAAAACATACTAAAAACATTCTGATCTGCCATCAAATCCAATGAACCAATGAACATCAACAAATAATAAAAAATAATACCCAGTTTAGTCATCATGGAAAAGAATCAATTAGATCCTCAACCCTCACTGAACAGATTTTATTTAAACATGTAGAGATAAGACTGTTATTTAATAATGATTGAAAAACAAGTTCAAGTTCCAGTCACCTCAGACAGAGGCACTGCGCCTAGTTCGAGAACAATTTCCGATTCCACCTTATCTCAAGACTGAGGCTGGACTTGAGTACTACAACAATAACATCTACTATAAACATGGATATCATGGTGGAATTATGAAAACATTGTAATAACATTCCGATCTGCATTTTTTCCACGGGTTCCTCTACTATCATCTTTTATTATTATGGTTATTGAGAGTTGGTAGATGGACACTCTTCATTCAAATCTTGTCTTCAGTGGTCTGAGCCAATATTCAGTATTATTAAATGTCATGGAACTTGAATATTTTAGCTGTAATGACGCTGTTGTGATGTGCAGAGGAACAGACAGACATACAAATGGCAGTTCTTGCAGTAAGAGTGGCCACATTGCCATCACTCTGAGTGGCTCGGAAGGAGGAATGTATAAAGTATTTGCAACAATATTTACAGATGAAATACTTTAGTTCCCATTAAAGAAGTAATACTGGCCACTTTCATTCCTAGCAAATGACTTGGATTCCACTTTCTGGGAATGGTTATAAAAGCAATTTTATTGCAGTATTGAAATTCAGTGTTTTATTGTAATACTTCTAGGAAGAAGTGTCACGATATTTTTAGGAAAGACCAAGCCTGGTTTGATGCAAATAAGCATTATATTATAGTGCCATGCAAATAAATTGTGAGGTGTGTAATATGCAAATAGAAACACCTGCTGCCTTACATAATATTAAAATGTGAATGGAAATTTGTTCACTGTAAATCTCTGAAATGTTCAGACTGGGACAGGTTTTCCTCCACTGTAATAATCAAATCTGTGACCAAATCTTCTCACTATTACTATGTTATTAAAGTCTTGGACAGAGAGTGATGCCTTAATTTTTGAGTGGCTAAACTTTGAAACAGCACAATGAATTACTCTATAGAACAATGCTCTATGATAGCAACAATACAGTAATAATTGCTATCTGTGTTTCACTTTTTGTGAAGAAATGGGCTTTCCCATAGTCAAAAGAAGAGCATTAGGTAAGTTGCTTTGCTAGAAGTGCTCAGATAGATTATGACAGAGGTCTTACCACTTCATGCATCCAGCTTGACTTGGGAATCCATCCAAGACTATTTATTTCATTTTCACTTCGCCATTAAGTGGTGCTTCATTGGCTACTACTCTTACAGTGTGTTAATTACAATAATAAGAAGACAGAGATCTGATAACAGCTTTTACTTACAGTGCAAAATAATCAATCAGGGAGTCAGTAATCAATGAGGCATCATTAAGAGCTTGGAGTCTGGTGCTCAGAGCAAGGGGAAAAAAGTCTGCCGACTTTAAATACAGCAGCAAAGTCAGCTCATGTAATACAGCAAATAAGATTTCATAAACGATAAAAAACTGGGAAGATATTACACATATTTAATGTGAACTGCTGGATTGCGACTTGATGTTACATGGCTATGCAGCTGTTTTACATGAGATTGGTGTGATGTCGTGGGATATAGTTATAAAGGAAGTTATTAGAGCTCTGAGGTGAGAGGAGGCGCAGAGTTTAGCTTTGAGCTGAAGAGAATGCACAAGGTGACATCCTGTGAGAACACACACAAAACATGAAGGAGTGAAAAAAGAGAGCCTCAGTTCTTTGTTTATGAGAGAGAGTAGCTGTGGTATTTCCATCAGCAAGTGTGTGTGTCTGTGTACAGCAAGGGGGAAATCTGTTTTCTACGCAGAATGCTCAAGCAAAAGAAAAAAAAAAACAGGACGAGTATCAAACTGTGCATGGATGCATGTGATAACGAAACTGAAGAATGCATTTTGTCAAGAAGTTAAAGCACACAGCAAGATCTGTTTTGTAAAAATAGTACTCTTTAATATAAATTATTGAAATATTTTATAAATATAAATATGTGCAAAGTTCCTTGCTGCATTTTTTTATTGTAATGCCTTTGTTTTTTCCGATTTTCAAGCTTGCACTGTGGGTCATTAGACTAGACCTTAAGATGCCACATCTTTATAAAAGACAGAGTACAAAACATGTTGTCCTCTTGTGGTGACACATGTAAACATCGTCTCTTGGACAAAATACAAAAAAGCAAAGAACTACAAGTGGAACCATAAGCCCTTCCATTGACTCACAATACATTCATTTAATTGTAGAGAGCATGTCCTGCTGAAAGAAACACTACGTCATTGTTATTGAATGAGGGTTACGAGGCATGACTGATTACTCCTTAGCACATACAGTCTGAACGAACGCCCCTGCTTTTAGAGGAACACAATCC